AACCAGACAGCCAAACTCTCCCCAGCTTCCCACACAAAGCCAGCACATTCAATGCCCGAGATCCTCGCGGCCGGGAGGGCCCTGAAGGAGTAAGCCTCCCGAACGAACAGGGCCACTCCTCCCCCCGCCCTTTTGTCCGGGATTGGTGGAGGACCGAGTAACCTGGGGGAGCCATCTGGGAGAGCGTTACTGTCTCCCCATCTCGCACCCAGGTCTCGGTCACGCAGGTGCCTCCTCCTGGCTGAATGAGGGCTGGAAGCGGGGCGGCCGGAAGCAGGGGGCGGGGCTTTGTCATGTGCCCCGCCCCTCTGCACCTCACCCGGGGGAACTGTGTTCCCCCACGTTCCCCCCCGAAATGACCTCTGTATATATATATAAAGAGAGAAATAAGATGGACATGGGAATTGGAGGGAAGAGATGAGAGAGGGGGAAGGGAAAGACAGCTGAGTCCTAAATCTCCCCCAGGACCATAATGCCAGAATGGTGGCTAATAATTTATCTATACCTGTACCCTCCAAATCCTCAAAATAGATTTATATGTGCAATGGCAGCTTTACCCTACATAGGGTCAGGGCCGGCTCACCCATTAGGCGAATTAGGCATTCGCCTAGAGCGTGGGCCAGCCCTTAGGGCGCCAAACGCCCCCTCCCCGCCCTCGGGATTGCCACTGGTGCCGGGCGCCGCCTTACCATGTGCCGCGGGGCCTGCTCATTGAGGGCGCGCAGCCAGGCCCACTGCCAGTTCTCGCGGAAGGCGAAGAGCGCAGCCAGCAGGGCCCAGGCGCCAGCCGTCTCACAGGTGGCGCCGGGCCCAGCCCAGGTGCAGCATGGCCATCCAGAGCCCCTGCACCACCTCCCCCAGCTGGCGCCAGGCGCGCCACAAGCCGTGGGTCAGCTGCAGCCAGCAGGGAGGCGACGGAGAGCAGCACCAGCGCTGCCCAGCCCAGGCTCAGTGCCACCGAGGCTGTCGCCGCAGGTTCTGTCCTCGGACGGCTCCATGGTGCGCCGGTTGACCTGGGCTCACAACCAGTCGGGGCGCATTGCCATTGCCGTCCCCTCCTGGGCTTCCTGCGAGCTACATGGTGCCAGGGGTGGCCCGCGGCGGGGCTGCATGCACACTTGGAGGCAGTGGCTCAGCTGGGGAGGAGGGCTGAGGCTGGCGTCGGAACCCGCGACCCCGGAGCAGGCAGAGAGGGCACCCCAGCTGTGGCCCTGGCCTGGGGAGGGCAGAGGTTGCAGCCTGGCCCAGTTTAAAGTGAACCGCGGGGTGGGGGAGCGCGGGTCCTAACGTGCTCCTTGCTGGTGGGGAGGCGTTCGGGAGGATGGGCCCTCCTTCTTGCCAGAGGCTCCAGCCAGACCTCCTCTGCCTTCGGTGCAGCCCCGTCGGGGGGGGGTCTGCTCTGCGGAGGCACGTGTGTGTGTGTGTGTCCCTGGCAGGCCTGTGCCCAGGCGCCTTCTCGGGCAGCTTTGCGGCATGGCTCTCAGCTAGGGCAGGGGCCACACAGATTCCGGGCGGCCCCAGGCAGCAGCTGCCAGCCTAGCTGGGCGGCTTCCCTCCCTGTGGCTCTGCGGTGGTGGCTGTGGTTGCGTGCCCCACCTCCTCCTCCTCCTGTCTCTGGCCGGGCTGGGGCTCCTCAAGGGGGCGGGGCAGGCCAGACGGCGCGGTAACTTTGGCGGACGGACGGCGGGCACAGGGAGCCGGCGGACGGGACTGCAGAGGCAGCGGCTCAGCTGGGGAGGAGGGCCGAAGCCAGCATCGCTGCCTGCCTCAGCAAGGTGAGGCCGGCCAGCCAGCCCCACAGTGGGCCAGCAAGGGAGGTGAGGCAAGGCTCCTTCAACCTCTAGGACCCCGGCAGGGGCGAGGCTAGCCTATGGCGCCCGCCCCCCTGAGCATGCTTCTGGGAGGTCTCCAGGCCCCACTGGGAGGTTGGCATCGCCTGGGGGTGCCACAAGCTGGCCTCGCCTAGGGCGCAGAAACACCTCGGGCCAGCCCTGCATAGGGTTGCCAGCTCTGGGTTGGGAAATACCTGGAGATTTTGGGGGTGGACCCTGAGAGTCCATCTTCCAAAGTGGCCATTTTTCCCCAGGTGGACTGATCTTTGTTGCATGGAGATCAGTTGTAATCCCAGGAGATCTCCAGCCACCACCTGAAGGTTGGCAACCCTAACTCTGCAAGTTCCAATTCTCTGATAAACTATTATGTGTATATGTTCTAAATTACATGCTGAGCCTATAGCCAATATGCAAGTTCCCACAGACAAAAAACACTCTGATTAGGTATTACAAAACTGATGATTGCATTAACATTTTTGCATATATTTTCACGTACCGTAATTTGAATTGTGACCGTACCTCACCATATTCTATTTGAATCAGTTCGTTGTAACACACAATGATGCTGCTATTCTCAAAAAATACCTGGGGGGCAGGGAGAAAGAAAAACAGGATAATATTACAATTGCTTTTGATCATTTATGTATACTATTAAGTTTCCACATAGGAGCAAACAAAATGTTATATGTGGGAGTCCTGTGACCTGACTCTCATTACCCTCAGTCAGATGGATGAATCTCCCTTATACCGAGTCATACCACTGACTCACGTATCCCAGCGTCACTTATTGCAGATGGCTTTCCTATCCCCTACTGCCTGAGATCCTTATAATGAGTGATGCCAAAGAGTAAAGCTGGTGCTATAACCATGGCCCTTCCTGGCACAGGGCGTTGTTCTGATGAGAACTTTGCAAGCAAATAATAAACGCCAAGACCTAGTATACAAAAACATGGCTTATTGGTGGAATGTTCTAAACTTTTAAATAAGAATTTCAAAGTGGCAGTGCTAATCACACAGTTTGACTAACATGTGCTTATGTCAAAATCACACATTACATTTGCAGAAATGGGAAACTGAGGGCCAAATAAACAAGGCAGCAGAAGCAGACAGAGCCTGCCATAGTCATGTTTTAAGCACGACTCTGTGTGTGTGTGTGTGTGTGTGTGTGTGTGTGTGTGTGTGTGTGTCCCCAATTTAAAGAGCAAAAGAGGCATGTAGTGGGAAAGTGTGCTAAACCTCTAATTACCGTCCTGCTGACAGTCCCCAGAAGTGATTTTCCCCACAGCTGAGTTCTGATACCAAAAGTGAGTGAATGGATAAAATCACTGCAGGGAATAATCTGAGGGGAGATAAGTAATCAAAGGTTCAGCACCCCCACCTATGTGCCCATTTTGCTCTTTAAATTAGAACCTCTATTCTCTGCTTTATTGGAGAAGGCAATTTAAAGAGAGAAAGATCTGTCACCATCCCATGCAGTCCGGTCCTCAGAAAACCAAGTATTCTGATTTTTTCTTACTGTTGTAATCCCTTGCAAAATATGGCATTTTAATGCCTAGCATTTGTTAGCTGAATACTCACAATATGTTTCTGAACTCCAAGTTTACTGATATTGGGGGGGGGGGGGGGAAAAAAAAAAATAAATTTTGCTACGAGTAGGACAGGTTCCTGACTGCACTGTACGTGTAGCCTCCCCCCCCCCAGAAGAAATAACCCCTGAGCCTATTTGGGGCTCGGAAAGCAGTGTCATGGGGGGGAATTGAAGTGCCCCCCCCCCACGCTGTGAACCCAACCCAAATTGTGCCCCAGGGTGCTTGGGAATCTTAGTTCCAAGCAGCTGTTGAGAACTCTGTGGCAAAATGTACCTTGTTTAGTCCTCAGTTCACCTGAAGAGGTAGGCTCTCTAGTCTATGAAAGCTAATGCTACAGTAAAATTTCGCTAGTTTTTAAGGTGCCACAAGACTCCTGTTTATTTCTGCAGCAGCAAACTAACTTGGCTTCCCCTCTGGTATCACAGTGGTTTTCAACAGAATCAGGCCTAAGCTGAATCGTCTTGTTGCTCTCTCTCTCTCCCTTTTTGCAAAGAGCAATCCCCTCTTCCTCCATCATTGGAGGGCACTACATGCCACAATTGCTCAAAGGTGCCACAATTCTGTGAATGCAGAGGCATTCACAGCAGCAATAAAGCATCCACAAGAGCATTTGAGCAGTGAATCCCTACTCTGTTGTAGTGATCTTGCTGCCTCCTCTCCCCATTCCTTTCCAGGTGCTCTGGACAAAAAAAGAATTGCCTGCACCTTTTGCCTTATATCTCTACAACAAAAGTGTAAACCTACTTTAAAAATGAAATATAGGAATTCAGAGGGACTAGATCATACTCATTGCACAACCGAATACGTGAATCACTATCAAGAGGCAACAAAAGGCTATCAACAGCTATTACTATCTATATCACTGTGTCAAACATATATCCTCTGGGCCACATCTGGTCTCATATGGCCCATGAGGCAACCCAATAGAGCCACAGCAGGTGGAGCTCTTTAATCAACCAATAGGGTTGCCGGGTCCCCTTGTCAATCTGGCAAGAAAATTTAGGGTGGGTGGGGACATTGTACAATGTGATAACATCACCTGGAAGTGACATCATTGTGTTGGCGATGCTCTGGTTTTGGGGTGAAACTCTATGGTAAATTTGCCCTCAAAACATAGAGTTTTGCCCCCAAACCAGAGCATCTCCCATGCAATGTCCCCGATGACATCACTCCCAGGTGATGTCATCACATTGGGAACGTTGCATGGCAAGGTCCCTGTTTAGGGGCAGGGTTTCCCCCACCAGTCAACAGGTCCGTGGCAAGGAGAAGCCCCCAAAACCTGGGGATCTCCTGCTCAGACTTGGGGGCTGGCAACCCTATCAACTGGGGGCCTACTTCCCCCAACCAATACAGCCAACGTGCAGCCATCAAGAGAAGGTAGCCAACTTCCTGGCCTGGAAACAGAGTTACACACAAAGCCCTGGCAACCATCTTGGATGCACAAGGCTCAAGGAGACAAGGGCACACCTGTGCAATTGCCAGGAATGATGAAGGAACCATGGAGATGGCTCTTATTGCTTCCAGGGAAAGATGGGGCAGTGGAGCAATTTGAAGGCCTATGAGGCCGGGCTGAGGAGGAGTTGCCAGCTCACTGCCAGTCCAGTCCCCTCCAAAGCTGTTTCTTGTAAATTGGACCCAAGTTCTGTGACACTTGAGGATTCTTCCTCGAGGCTGAGTTCCGACTGGTCAAGCTGGCCCAGGACACCCTGCACTGTTCCCCTTATATGTTCCTTCCTGTTTTCTCTGTACAGCCTCAGGATATGTGAATATCTAACTTTGTCAAGCATGACAGGACAAACTCCCTGCCTTTTTATTATCATAAAGTTATTTGGGAGGTAGTGTTGCCAGACTCCAGGTGGTGGCTGGCAACCTCCTGGAATTACTGCTGATCTCCAGGTGAAACAGATCAGTTCCTCTGGAGAAAATAGCTCTTTTGGAAGATGGCTGCTATGGCATTATACCATACTATGGTCCCTCCCCTCACCAAACCCCACACTCCACAGGCTCCTCCCCAAAATCTCCAGGAATTTTCCAACCCAGAGGTGGCAACCAATGGGAGGCTACATAGGCTCTTCTCTTTGTCTCCTAGTTCTGCTTAATTGGATGTTCCGGTATTCAGGCAGTGACAAGCATCAAACTGTATCTAACTGGACTCATCTCTGCATGCACGTTACTTTAAAAAATGGAAGAAAGCAAGCTATTATTGTGGCCTGAAATTGAGACCTCTGTAGTTACCGGCTGTTAGAGTTCTAAGCAGTGCAACCTGTGATTTCCACAAGTCCCCCCCCCCCCTTTTTTTTTTTGAATTATTTGAGAGGAAAATTTACAAACCGCTTTAGGCCAGGGGGAGGGGATTTCCCCCCTGCTTATTAAGCACCTTTAACTAGCATATAAATAATAAAATCTTACAATAATGTCCACAAGCTCACAATCTAATAAGACAACCTAAAAATAAGGAAGAAAGGGTAAGACCAAATGTTGGAGTGGGAACCAAATTAAAACTATATTATGGGAAGGTCTTAAACACAAAGGTCATAAACACAAAAAGATCTTAAAGAAGTCAACAGTTGGCTATCAATTCTAAAAAAGATGGAACCAACAAAGATAGAGAGATGGGAAATGAATGGAGAGATCCAAAGCTTTGGGTCAAACTACAGAATCTGTTTTTTAATGAGCCAGGTCCAGCTTCCCCCTTGTGTAGCTCCAAAACAGGGGGCCAATGACTCTACCCTGGGGCTACTTCAGTTTGGGAAAACAGCATGGGGGTGGGAGGAGGCAGGAGCCACTCCTTTCCCCCATGGCATGAGCCTGAGCTGAATTGGGCCCCTACAGACTTTTAAAACACTTTACCCCACAGCTGCTGTGCGGCTCTGTGTGCATCATGTAGTTTGGCCCTTAGAGAGCAATTGTAAGCAGGTCTACCTAAATCTATTGATTAGTGCTCATTCCCAGGAAACTGTTCTTAGATTGCACTGTCAATCTGATTGTGCCACACGGTCAACAGGAGTAATAGTTTCTCTGTGTTTAAAAACTACATCTTTCCTAAGCCATATTTCTCATTACGAGCCGGTCTGTCTTATGGACCACAGGCAGAGCAGGCATAAACCTCCTCCCTGACCCAGTCCAGTGAACCTGAAGGAAAAGTTTCAGCCAGCTCCACAGTCCTCCTCTTCCCAATGCTGGCTAAGAGCCACCCTCTACCATCAAGCATTGAAGACTTGGCAGTTGGAAGTTTATTATGATAACATTTGAGAGCCCAAATTCAAAAAGAACACACATATTTCTTGGCATGTGTCACAGGGAATCATGTCCAGGCTTGTAGAATTTTATTTGTCAGTTCATTTCTACCCACTGAAACACTGATCCACTTTGGCATAACAGGTTTTCCTCTCTGTGCTAAACTTACTGCTCAAATATGTGTAGTTAAAATGCAGAGGAGCTCCCAGCTAGCACAGCTGTTGAAAATTAATGAATTAGTTATCACTTAAAGAAAGAATAACTTCTACGTACCCTATTAAAACCTGCATGGAGAAGGGGGAGTACAGAGATTTCTTCTTGGTCAGCTGATCTACAGGAAAGCAGAATATGTCACCTAAAGACACCCGAAATACTGTGATGCTTCAGTGTAAGACACATACATCTATACACATAAAATATATATTTACAGTAGTTCTTTTTTTCAACGAATACCAGTTTTGCAGATGTGGTGTTTTTTGTTATCAGTGCTGCCATAACAGATTTGGCAAGATTAAAAAAATCTAGGTTGACAGTGAATGTGAGATAGCGCTCAACGCCTTGGACTCTATACAGTGCCAGGAGGTTCCCTGCATTATCCAGCAGAGTGTTCCAATTGCATTCTGGCCTTTGCTTGCAAGTTTTTTCAATGACCATAGCATTGTAACCTGTGAAGGGGAATTCCAGTCATGTAATATTCCATGCACATTCTGAAATTAAAAAAAGAAATAATCTTCTGAGTATTTAACAGTATAATCCTAAGAAGGTCTACTAAGAAATCGACTGAAGTCCACTCAATAGGGTTTACTCCCAGGAAAGTTTCAGGTGGGTAGCCCTGCTGGTCCGCAGTAGAAGAGCAGGATTTCAGTGCAGTAGCACCTTAGAGACCAAGAAGATTTTCAGACTATGAGCTTTCAAGAGTCAGAGTTCTCTTCATCAGATACCTATATGCTGGAAACCTTGGCCCTGTTCATACGAGGCGTTTTGGGCCGGGAGGGGGACGGAACGGGGGCGGAGCAAACGGGTGCGATCCCACGGCAACATCTGGGAATCGTTGCCTGCCTGTCCCTGATCCGTCCCTACCGCCGAAAACGCACAGTAAAAAAGAACCACCTACCTAGGTGGTTCTTTCCAGTAGAGCGCCTCAAGCCGGGCCGTGGGATCGGCCGGCGCGTCCTTGCGCCGGTGCATCCCAGCCCCCGGCTGTACTGCGCATGCTTGGGCATGCGCAGTTTGGCAGACTCCCCCTCCCATCCGACTCTTCCGCCCCGGCATCTGATCGTGCCGGGGAGTGCCGCGCTGTGGCTCGGGGGATCCCGCCGCGGCGTCTCAACTTTGGTGCGGCTCAGATTAGCCGCAGTTCAGCTGTCCTTTTCCCTGCCGTGTGGCAGGGACCCTTGTTGGTCTTTAAGGTGCTACAGGATTCAGATCTTGCTGTTCTACTGCAGAAGTGTCTGCTAAGGTATATGATGGAGTCAGTTTTGACTCTCAAAAGCATATACCTGGGAAATCTTGTTGGTCTTTAAGGTGCTACTGGTGTCAAACAGCGCTTTCCCAGGAAAGTGCTCTTAGGATTGCACTGTAAACTTACCCTCAGGCTTTTTTGTAGATTTTTATTTATTCCTTGTAACAAAAATATTATATTGTTATTCTCTTCAAGAAGAAAATGTGGCTACTGTTAAGAAAACTTGTGAAAAGTATAGTTTGGACCATACACAAAATTCCAAATTGTAATAGAATTTTATTTCCATTTACTTGACAGATACTATGAACAGTATCTTCATGAACGTTATGTCCAATCTTTTCAAAGATCACTTTAAATTAATATGACTAGACAAAGAATAAGGTAACATCGTTTTTACAAAATACTTACCTATGTGGAATAACAGATAATATTACAGTATGTTCAGCGGGTTTTGTCGCACGGATTGCCCTAAAATTAGGAAATTCCATGTCATAATTGAGGAAACAGTATTAGAACAAACACCATATATTAGAACATATAACTGGGATCCCATACCCATAGGGGAAAAAAGCATGCACAATCAGAGCTTTATTTGTTGTTTTCTCTGCAGATTTTATCCCCTCTAAAGAGGCAGGCCATGTTTTCTGCAAAACCTTTTCTTGCCTCTACAGCAACAAGACTAAGGTTGTGTCCAGACAGGCAGTTTGCCGTGGCAGTATCCCATGGAGAAAAAGCCGCTGGAGCTAGGTGTGCTTCACAGCATTCACACTGGTCCTGCAACACCAGCTGCATTGGGTAGCCGGCCCATGAGGGCTGGTTCACATTGTTAACACGCCACCAGCATGGAGCCATGGCTGATGCGCCCCTCTGATTGGTTGGGTTGCTGAAAACAGCATACTGCCATGCCAGAAATGGGAGAGGTGATCACACAACTCCTGCGCTTCCATGGCGCGCCTGCGCATTCAGACACCAGAAAAGCTGCCATGGAAGTGCCTCACCTGGAAAACCACCAAATTTTCCTGGTGGCTGTTTAAGGCATATGAGAGTCATTTTGCAATGGGGTAGGTACAGATGGCTTCCGAGTGCCAGATGTGTGTGTCTGATCATGCTGCTTTGATCCGGGGGTGGGTGGGTGGCTATGCCAGACCAAATTGCCTGTGTGATCACAACCTGTGTTTCTGCATTCTAGCCTATAGTATGGGATTTGGAAAAGTGACAGAAATTGAGAGCAAAGAAAGTAAAACTATAAATTTTACAGGGCTTCTACATTAACATGCTTTTGGCATGTTTTAAAATGTGGGCTTTGGAGGATGTGGTGACTTGATGCTATGAAACCAAGAATATTCACTTGCCAAGGGTTGATAAACGGGCTATGAATGTAGTTGCCTTAACCTTTCTCCCCCACTAATAACATCCAATAAAAGGATGTTTTTTATTTGCTCCCACATAGAACCAACTTCCGTTTTGTTCTTGTCATGGGCCTAATTCTCACTAAAATTGTAAACCTGCACCTGAGGTTATGATTTCAGATGTAACCACAAGACTGAATGGCTCTTCATAAAGAATATTTTATCCCTACAGAAACTGAGAAAAATGGTTCTAGCCTAGTCTTCCCTTTCATATTGAGCTTTCTACACGCAAAAAAGATTTTTATATTTAAACAATAATGTGGATCCCATCTGAATTCTTGAGTGGTAAAACACAAGAAACAGGTTTACCATCTTAGTAAGAACTAGTCCATGGCCATCGTATTATTAGATAACAATATTCCTGTACTTCACATGAAGCACAATGATAATTACCTACAGACGGCTTCTGCATCAAAGTATCTGGAGTTTCTATGATCTATTACAATTATTTCATGATGTTTATCAAGAAAACATTCAAGTGCTGATTCTGGTGTCCGAGCAATGTTACACCTATATCCAGCTCTATCACAAGCCCACCAGAATCCATCACTCTGTTTGTCTTCTTTTGCAAAGATAAGCAACACCTGTAAAAAATACAGAAGTCAGTCTAACATTACACATTCCATCCTGGAATTCAAGGCAGTACAAATAAAGTTCTAAGGAGATCTCCTGTATAGACAGTGACCAGACTCAGATGAGGTTAGCTTCACCAGGGTTATTGCATCGGGTGTCCTTCAGTCATACCCTTGGGACCATTTTACTATATTTTACATGTCTCAAAATTGGTATGGGATCTCTCATTATAAACTAGTCCAGATGTTGATCCTATGAGAAACTGTAAGAGGCCAATGGATGAAACCAGTCTGAGAAGCCATCCAGCGCTCAGAAGTAAACATCTGTGTCTGTATTTGTGAGTGCAACATTTTCCTGGCAGAGATAAAAATAACACCAGTAGGGTAGTCTGGGGGTGAAGTACCAAGTACCCGTCTTCCAACTCGGAATGCCATCAGCCAGCTACCACCCCTGCTCTAATATTACTTTTCAAGCATCTATTCAGAAGGCGACTACATAGGCAAGATGTAAGCAAACATTTTAGGTTCCCCTCTTAATGTTTCCTCTGGGCACAGAGCTTGGTGCTAAGTATAAGATGAAGGATTCTCCAAGCAATGATTTTGGCAGCAGAGCCTAAGTGTCATATTCCCTGTGCTACTGAAACATCTTGTGAGCAATAGGAAACATTATCCTGATCCCTAGGGCTCTGCAGCACCACTCTCTACATCGCCAGACAGAGCACTACAGCTTTTTAGCCCAGGTGACCTGAGAACATTTCATCAGGCCTTATAAAATAACTGTCTCTGGACTGGTTCCAGAGGTTGAACAAGGTTGCTTAGTCTAGACTGAGCTGCTAAAGGGAACCTGGAAACCCAGCGAAACACAGGCCTACCATGTGGCCACCTACCCTCCTGACATTTATTAAGCAACGCTCCATTTATCAGACTCCCAAGGACTTCTCACACATGTAATTACATAAAGAAATCCAACAGTATCTTTTGAGAAGGATAAAAATGGCTTCTATAATCTCATACAGCTTGCCAACTGTGCAGGTCATGTCACTTGCCAAAACAGGCCAACTACAAAGTACAAAGATAGATTCAGGTGGGCAGCCATGTTGGTCCAAAGCAACTGAACAAAGTTTGAGTCCACTGGTACCTTTAAGACCAACAAAGTTTTATTCAAGGTATAAGCTTTCGTGTGCATGTCCACTTCTTCAGATTCAGGTATCTGAATTCAGTGCTTTGTAGGTCTTAAAGGTGCCACTGGACTCGTAGTTTTGTTCTGTTACGAAGCACAAAAGAAGTTGATCGGGGAAGATCTCACATCCTCTGACACCACTCAGGTACTTTTAGTTATGTCCTGATTGACCCTGAAAGGATATTCCAAACCATGCCCTGCCCCCCATCTGTTCCACTGAATGCAACACAATCAATAACAAAAGGCCCATTTTACATTTTTGTGAGCATTCAGTTTCCAGGAGATCTTTTTCAAGCAATTTAAAAGGTCCTATGGGCTTAAATACCATGACATCTGTTTTTCCTTTTCATCTGTCTTCCTAAAGGAAGTGATGAAAGTTACCACTGCTCTCTCATGCGCTCAGTTAAAAAAGGATACTGTAAATCGTTTTTTTAATGAGCACTCTTTAGGAAGGGAAAGTATTTGTCAGTTTTGTAATAAATATTAGCAATTTTCAGATTATATATCTAACAACATAGGTTGTGTAACTATGCTGTGTAATTCTCAAGAATTAATAGTAGTAGTCCATCATTAACCATGTCGCAATTTAAAAAGGAAAGAAAACAAACTTCCTTTAGAGTAAATATAAGCAAACAAAGAAAAGTCTGTGTTTATAAGCTTTGCCAAGAACTGCTCAAGCTATTCAGCTAGAACTACTGCTGTGTGAAAGGTCAAATCTTTCAGAGACCTCTGTGTTTCATATGAATAGATTGTCCTGTTCATTTCAGTAGGACATCTTGTATAATAGTTCAGGAAGATTTGTGCTAAACTGTGTGATATGTCATTTAATAAATAAATAAATAAGGCAGGTATAGGCAATAAAACTACAAAAACATCTTGTTAAAACTGTAAAACAAAATGTACAACAATAATTGTAATTGTTTTCTTTCTTGTTTCTTTTTAGTTGTTCTTTTGTTTTGTTTTTGTATTCCTTGTTTTTTCTTGTTTCTGATATTTTGTTAATGTATGGTTATGAGTATTTGTTGTGTAATTAATATAATTATTTAAAAATTAAAAAATAAAATGTGTGAGTCTGTAAAAGGGGGGAGGGAGTGGGAGCCAGCGTCATCATCTGTGTTACTGTGTATATTCATGGTGTCACCAGATGAAAGCCAGAGCAACTCACCCTGATTTTGTGTTATCTAAAGCTATGTAAAGATCTGAATTCCCAATAATGCCATTATAGCATAGCATATGCCAGCATGTAACTAATTTAGTAAGAAAACTAGATGCTTGTGGCTGTACATATTTAATGTGTTGCAAAGCTCTAATTCAAGACAGAGCCTCAGAAATTGAGAGTTCTGTTTTGTAAACTGTGCTGTAGCATCTTCTTAAACTACTGCTTCCTGGAGCACAAGTCTGCACACTTCACTAATTCCTGGAAAGTTTGCTGCGTAACTTTGGCCCCGGTCATATGGGCAGGAAACTGCGGTGGGGAAGCGTGGCTGTTTGCCCCGGGGCAAACTAACACGCAGTTAAGCGATCAGACCTCCTGTGGAGGTTCTGTAGAGGTACCGTGGAGCTTCCGTGGTTAGGGAGAGGTGTCGATCACATCACACGCCTGCGCGCAACGAAGAAGCGCGCGGCGCGGCGAACTGGTTTTCTTTTTTTGTGTACACTACGAATGCGCATGCTCCGTTGGGTGCGTGTGCGCAACCACGGAGACTTGGGGGGAAAAAAACCCCTTTTCCGCAAGGGGACATGGGCGGGCGCCGGATGCCACCGGAAACGCGATCAGACGCCCGCCCTTGCCCCGCAGTTTCCGGAAACTAGTACCTCCAAGGTACTAGTTTTTTGCTGCGCGTTTTCGGCAGGAAGCCTCGGTTGTGCCACGGAAGCGCTACGCTTCCCAGATGTGCTGGTGAGATCGCGCCCGGAAACTCCGCCTGTCTTCCGTATCTCTTGCGTGGCTAATGTTGCGTGTGACCGCAGCCTAGGGTTGCTAAATTTGGCTTGGGAAATTCCTGCAGATTTGGGGGTGGTGCCCAGGGAGGGTCTTCAGTTACTCCATATTATACCACAGAGTCCACCCTCCAAAGCTGCCATTTTCAACAGAGGGACTAATCTCTGTAGTCTGAATATCAACTGTAATGGCCAGAGAACTCCAGGCCCCACCTTGAGGTTTTTAACTCTATATGTAACTGCAGAATTCTTTTAGAAAACTTTGATCATTGGTTAAAATCAGGTACAATTTAATTTTATGTCAAATGACCAGATTGAAGAAGACAGATAACAGCCCAGATTGCTACTCTTAGGGCAATTTCCCCCTTCTTCTCTGAAGTGCCACACTCAGTTTTACCCTCTCTTTCAGCTAGAGATGTAGTCAGGAACCTGTCTCTCATTCCTCTTTCCTATCAAGTATATTAATTCCTAAATAAATGTTTATCTGCTCTTCAATCAGGTTGTGCACCATTGCTGTGTTAATTACTCTGCCAATAGCCATAAGTCAGCTGCAACTTGATGGCAAAACAAAACAAAACAAAACAAAACAATCTAGCTAGAAACTGTCAAGCTGCTGGCCATCTGCCTTGCATTCCCCCTAAAGTCACAGATCAGAAGAGGTGGGATGGATCTCCCCTAAGGAGACAAAAGCTGTTGTTAAGGGAGGCATGAACTATTCTTTATCTGTCCTTTCAGACCAATTTTTTAATGTTATAATGACTTGGCCAAATGATTAAATGGCTAAAGTTAGTAGACTGCTCATTCACAGGTAATCAGCGGAATTAAAGTTCAGCGGGGTCTCTCCCCCCCCCCCCGAATGCCTTTGTCATTATTTGTCAATATCTGTGTAATATTGATTAATTTAGTATTCCCAGACATTTAATGAAAGTTACAGTCAGCTCTTTGAAAAATCATGTGGTATAATCTTCCCAAACTACACAGTACAGAGTCATGCGAAAACCTAACACCTTGCTCTTGGACATTAATTTTGACTGTATATTTTGTTCAATTTATACTTCCAGAATGATGCAAACTACATCTGAATTTGATTTTTGAGAGTTTTTTAATCTTTTTGATATATATTTCATGTTGTATAACGGCATTATGATTTAATTCAATGTTTATTGAGTGATCTATATTTAAAACATTTCTATCCCATCTTCATTTCCTTGGACTCAAGATGGCTAATACTAAACCAACCAAGTAGCAAGGACATACTTCATAGTTCAATTAACAACACTAATATAGATTAAAACACACAGTTAACAATTTAAAAGCGTTCAGACTTAAAACACAGAGGATGAGCAAACTCGCAGTATAATCTGCTAGAAAAATTCACCCTATTCTTGATGAATTCACTCATTCATCAAGAATATTTATGCTGAAAACCTACTGGTTTCATCCCTTCTATCCTTACATTTGTGTCTACAGACTTGTCAATTTTACTTCAACTGGAGGATTTCAGTGGTTATTTGAACTTTAATATTGAACATAGTAGTTACTGCTGAAGTGAAAAAAAATCTTACCTGAATAGGATCTTGTGTCAGTCTCATGGGCCCAATTTGTACCTCTGTAGTTGAAGCCTGCTAAATGAGAACAGCACATGTCAAGACAAATTGTCTGCTAAACAGATTAAACTGAACATGAAAAACATGACTTATTTTCTAAAAAAATCACAAATTAGCTTGATATCTGGAACTGGTTTATACATGACCTGGTAACACAAGTTATCAATGAGGCAAAGCACCGGAGAAAGCACTGCGCTTTTGCAGCTGTTCCCACCATACTCACAACTTATAATGACCAGAGTCTTTGTGGGTAGGCTCAAGATCTATTTTATTTCATGGCAGAAGACGATGTGCAAGCCCAGGGCAACAGAGGACTACATAAAACGAGAGAGCAGAATAACTGCAGCAGGCATGAAAAGCACCCAACTCCACTATAGTCCAAGTAGAAAGGAGCTCTTCCTTGGACTAAAAGCAAAAGCAGCCACAGGAGCACAGTTTAGTACAGATCATGCCCATTCATGCACCCAGTAAGGTACCAGCACACTAGCTCATTGGCTAATCTGCTGCCTTTTTGAGTCCCTGATTGGTTAATTGACAAACCTGTCAATCTTCCTTTAGCTGCCCCTGAGGATTCTTCAAGAGCTTCTTAATGGTTGAAGATTATTTCTACCCATTGACAGCCTTCCCTATGCTTTTTGGGGGAACTGTGTTTGTGAGTGTTAGTAGAGAAAGACTTGCCTGCAAAGTCCCCCCCCCAAAAAAAAAGATGGAGAATGACTAAGGAGAAAGCTTACCAGCTGCCATCACTTGGACTACTGGTAAGAAAGGAGGCAGGCAGGCAGGGGTTGGGAACAGCTGACAGGGCAGAGCCCCCATTTGACCTAATGGGCCTGTATCCCCTGCCAATGTAAAAATTAAGGAAGTCACATTGGTATAATTAAAGCCTTGTACTGACAGGAAACATCTGGCACTATAAACTGTACACCAGTGGCATTCCACCCACCTAAGGAGTAAAAATGGGCATGACGTATAAGAAACAGGCCTTAGTTATAATCCTATGCTTGCTTGAACACTCTCCTATCCTTGACAATGCCGTAATTTTATTCCTACAAAACAGATGGCACATAATTCTAGAACCACTGAAGTTGAGGGGTAAGAGATTCAGGAAAAGCAAGAGGAAGTATTTTTTCACACATTGTGTAATCTGTGGAACTTGCTGCCACAGGATGTGGTCATGGCCGCCACCTTGAAGGGCTTTAAAAGGGGAGTGGACAAATTCATGGAGAACTGGGCTATCAAAGGCTATTAATCATGAGGGATATCCCTCCAGTACCAGAGATATGAGCCTCTTCAAATAAGTTGCTGGGGGGCACAGGCAGGATGATGCTGTTGCAGTCTTCCTGTTTGTGGGCTTCCTAGAGGTTGCTGGTTGGCCACTGTGTGAACAGAATGCTGGACTAGATGGGCCTTTGGTCTGATCCAGCATGGCTCTTTTCTTCTTCTGAAATACTCTTCTATTAGTGTCAATGGAAAATCCAAGATGACCTCCCTCTTCCCCATAATTAAAGTTACAGCAGTATTCCAAGGAACCCTAAAAACAATCATAGCACATCACCAGGAGTGTAAAAGGCCCAGCTAGAGATATAGTTCTTGTATATCAAGATGTGTTACATAGAGTTACATAACTTTGACACCATGCCTACAGAAACATGAAGCACACGAGTGGGGACCTTGGTAATGGGCATTTTGTGCAAAATGAATATTCATGCCAAAACCCATCATCCAGGGAAACAAAAGGAAATGAAAAGCTGATAAATATCTGAATCTGAAATTTATTATGGAGTCTAAAGCTATGTTACATTTAACTAATTTAAAGATGTTGCATTACAAAATTATTTAATTTGCTCATCTTATATTTTTTTTTAAATGACAGCATGTTATCAGTGGTCTCCTGATCAAAAGAAATCGATCCTGTAAAGGTCTTTTACTAGGGAAAGCAAGAAAAAGAAAGCTTCTACTGTCAAACAGAAGCTGTTAGGAAACTTGTCTCTCTATAGTTTAGTTCACAAATGATGAGACAATTAAGGATTAGTGAAGACATTACACTTCTGCATCACTACAGTACCCTTAGACATCAATCTTGAGCCTAAGCGCTAACCAGACATGACATTGACTAAGAACTACCTAGACATGACATTGATACCCGGAGGTTGGCAAACCTGTGAGTTGCATTTCAGAGCTCTAAAGAAGGATGGAGGCTGGGGAGACAATGGAGAAGGAGCAAGCAGGAGAGGGCTACTGGACTCTTCCCAGGCCTATCATTTTTGGCCCTGAAGCCCCATTCATTTCTTTCAGTTGGATATATTTCTTCTTTGATCCCAAACTGGCTGTGGGAGAGCTTGCAAGGGTAAAAGCGGTGGGCAGGAGAATTCATCATCCCTACCTTATCTGGTTCTCCTTTTTCATTAGCACCATGATCCTGACTTTCATTATTTCTGCTGCTATTACGTCGGAGTTAGCTACAGACGTGTTTATTTGTTTCTTAGATCTATATCTTGCTTCCCCCCCAAGAAGTTCAGAGTAGCTATGGTTTCCAGGTGAACTCCCACAGAGGCACTCCTCCGAATCCGATCCTCTTATTATTAACCACTGAACTGTATCATGTACTTTTGCATAATCCTGTTGATGGATGTTTTTGCTCCTGAGAAAATCTGATATTGCCAAGAATGTCCCAGATTCTGGGAAATATCCAGTAGTACGTTTGTTGTGAAGTTGTACAAGGACATTTTTTAGCAATATAGACATTATAGATTTCCAACGAAGAATGTGAATGTACTTTTAAGTGTACCTCTCTTAATCAGTGAAAAGATGACACATAAAAGAGGACTGACACAGTATAAACTAATAGGACACAGTGAACCACCTTGTAAATAGTTCCTCATAAATCTTACAAGTTGGTTTAGGACTGTAAGACCTTTACTTCTCCTTCCTCTCATCACAACAAAATATTACATGAATGGCCCATGCAGGCACAACTTTGGTTTATGATCTTTCCAGATGATCAGTTTTAAGTGCAGTAATTGCCCTCTTGTTATTAATTTATTGCAAGTTTCACACAGCTTCCTCCCAAGACTGCAATCTGCAGAACAGTGGCTATACTACATTTTGTGTATGCATGTAGATTTTGAGTATGCATTATTATTATGAATTATGCATTATTATTATGAATGTGTGTCATAGGCACATATACATACTATCTGTGGCATTCATACACACACATGACCGATCATACACACACATGACCCCTCATTCCCATGCCGTCTGTGAACTTCTGAACATTAAAGGGCAAAAATGAAAGTGTTTTTAGAGATTGATCTACCTGAATTGCATTGAAAGAGGGCTGTGACAATGCTCCCTCTAAGCTGTGGAGTCTTGTGAGCAAAAAATCTACTTTGTGAACTACTGGCATTAAAGCTGTGAGTGAGAGAGTTGGCTACTGCAGAAATCAGTCTGCTCTGGAGCCATCCTTCCTGAGCTAAGACAAAAATGTGTGAGCTGGAGGCTAAAAAACTGTAAGCAAGCTCACACTAATTCAGCTTAGAGGGAACACTGGCTGTGGGTAAGATTTGATTTTGACTATAAAAAGAACACTCCGCTGAGAACGGTAGAACCACTCTCTGCAGACCCATCCAATTTTTTTGTCAGCCAAGAACACTTTCAGTATAGGAGCTCAACTACTGGTGGATGGAGACTATATGGTAGGGTTGCCAGGTTTGGGTTGGAAAATACCTTGAGACTTTGGGGGTGGATCTGGGAGAGGGTGGGGTTTGGGGAGGGGCCTCAGCATGGTACAATGCCTTTGAGTCCACCCTTCAAAGCAGCCATTTTCTCCAGGGGAGCTGATCTCTGTCAGCTGAAGATCAGTTGTAAAAGCAGATCCCCAGGCCCCACCTGGAGGCTGGCAACCGTATTGCATGGAGATGTTGTAAGTGGGAAGAAAATTCTGCATTCATCTCCTGTGTGGCTCTTTTGGTATTAAAACAGATCCTCTTCCTCCAGTTTCTATGCAACTATTTAACACACAGGTTTGTGGCTGTTATGTGTAGTTTAACCCTAAAAGTTTCTATCTTTAAAATAATTCTTTTGAACTTTTGCATAATCCAGATTGTACACACAGAGCCAAATACTGAGAACTCCTTATAAAGAAGACGCAGGGAGGGACTCTTCTTTCAAGACTACTGGAGATCATGAAAGCCGCACAGTGGTAAACACTGACTCATGACAGAAGATGATGAGAAGACTTTCAACCATACTACAGCTTTGTGATTCCAACCTATAGCACTGATAGAGAACTGCGACGTTGTTCCCATCTCAGAAAGAGGACCTTCTCTCCACTTTCAGTACCAAAGAAGGTAGGCTGAAGTCAGTGGGACAGTTCTGAAGAACCACTCAGTTAGCAACTCCCTAGCTAACTCTTCCAGTCTAGCAAACATCAGATGCAAGGTAGGCCCACAGCCAATGTTCCCTCTAAGCTGAGTTAGTGTGAGCTAGCTCACACTAACTCAGCTTAGAGGGAACACTGCCCACAGCTATGGGGGTAGGGCTGCCAAGCCTCCTGCTATAAAAGGAGTCCGCATGACAATTGCTGCTGTTGCCCACTGCTATTCCAAGCAGCAATGGGATACAAATAATAGAAATGCTGCCAGCCTCTGTGCCAGTATGTCATTTCTGGGTACAACCTGGAAGTGACAGTGGGTAGCTCTAGGAATCGCTAGAAATGCTATTGTTTCACCACAGAGTTTCCAGTGATTCCTAGAGGTACTCATTGTCACTTCTGGGCTGTACACAGAAGTACTACAGTGACTTAAGTGACATCACATACTCCCCCCATGTCCCAGCCTTCCGACTCTCCCCACCCCCTATATGAACCATAGGGGCAATGCCCTCCCATAAATATGTCATGCTTCCCCTGAATTCCTAGTTTTCAAAGTTAAACAGGCTCTTCTTCATTACAACAGTATTTGACGTTTCAGATTAGTTCTGATAAGTCCTGGAGCAACATCGCCACTGGCCTTGTT